GCCCCCCAAGTCATAAGAATGCAGCCAGGCCACAGCGCCCGCAGCAGTGATTTCTCGCTGTTTTGTGAGGAATGCATGGGGATTTAAAACTTCACTGCTGTTGTCTAGTTGCATGCAGGAAACCTCATCTCACCTCATCCCTCCATCCCGCTTCCCTGGGGAGTAGGAAGACATCCTTTTCCTCTCACTCAGCCCTCTCTCCGGGGGCTGCCACAGAGCTTGGGGAGCCACCTCCACGGGACGTGGCTGGATGGGAGCTGTGGCCTCCAGGCGCGGGGGCTCCGGCCTGGGCCTCTCCAGCCATGTCTGTGGGACCACCTGTCCTCCGGGTGAGCCCCCCACGCACGAGGAAGGGACCAGGGGCCACACAGACATGGAGTGTTTGGCATACTGACAGACGGGCAGGTCACTGGGAGACATCAGGGACATGAGAGCATGAGATCTGTGCCCTGGCCTCGGCCCTGGTGTACTAAGATAAGTCAGGTCAGGAGGAAGACCCTCCCGCCGCCCACCCTCAAAAAAAAAAAACACGCCATTACCTCCTCTTCACTTTCTCTTACGGCTGGCTTTTTACACTGCGTCAAGTATTTCTTGACCACATATGTTGTTTGAGTATTCAATGTCAGTTAATTATACTGTGGCATAATTCCTTAAATTGGCTTACGAAGCAGTTTAAGTCTCACATGCTTGGAAGTGTTTTAAGCAGAGTAATGGTTTGCTTTTTTTTTTTTTATTATTTTGGCATATTGTGGGGGTACAGACTTTAAGGTTTCAATAAATGCCCATTGCTCTCCTCCCCCCACAAGTCTGAGTCTACAGCATGACCATTCCCTAGATGGTGCACATCTCACTCATTTTATATGTATATACCCACCCCTCCGCCCCTCCCACCTGCCCAACACCCTATTACTGTAGTACCTATGTGTCCACTTAGGTGCTGCTCAGTTAATACCAATTTGCTGGTGAGTATATGTGGTGCTTGTTTTTCCATTCTTGGGAAACTTCACTTAATAGTATGGGTTCCAGCTCTAACCAGGGAAATATAAGATGTGCTATATCACCGTTGTTTCTTAGAGCTGAATAGTACTCCATGTGTATACATATACACATTTTATTAATCTACTCTTGCATTGATGGCACTTGGGCTGTTTCCACCAGCCTCTGCAATTATGAATTGTGCTGCATAAACATTCAAGTGCAGGTGTCTTTTTGTAGAGGTGTCATTGGATCATTTGGGTAGAGTGCCCAGCAATGGGATTGCTGGATCAAATGGGAGATTCACTTGTATCGCTTTAAGGTATCTCGCATATTGCTTTCCACAAGATGGAACTAGTTTGCAAGTCCCACCAGCAGTGTAAGGTTCTCCTCTCTCTCCGCAACACGGCAGCATTATTGTTTGGAGATTTTTTGATAAAGGCCATTCTCATTGGAGTGATATCCTCTTGTGTTTTGATTTGTATTTCCGCCTGATGATTAGACATGTTGAGCATTTTTTCATATGTTTGTTGGCCATTTTCTGTCTTCTTTTAGAAAAGTTTCGTGTCAAGTCCTTTGCCCACCTTTTTTGATAGGGTTTATTTGATTTTTTCTTGCTGATTTTCGTCAGTTCTAAGTGATATTTCTAGTTATCAGCCCTCTAATCAGATGTGTAGGATGCAAAAATTTTCGTCCATTCTGTAGGTTATCTTTACTTTCATGACTGTTTCTTTGGCTATGCAGAAGCTTTGTAGTTTGATCATGTCCCATTTATTTATTTGTTGCTTGCTGTGATTGCCTTGGGTCTTGTTCATAAACTCTTTGCCTAGGCTGATGTCTAGGAAAGTGCTTCCAACATTTTCTCTAAATCTAATAGTTTCATACCTTAGTTTAAGTCTTTTATCCAGCATGAGCTGATTTTTGTGAAGGTGAAAGGTGTGGGTCCTGTTTTAGCCTTCTACAGGTGGCTATCCAGTTTCCACACCTTATTGACAAAGGAATTCTTTCCCGCACGTATGTTTTGTTGCCTTCGTCAAAGATAGATGGCTATATGAGGAAATGGTTTTATCAGGCATCCTCACATTCTGTTCCACTGGTCAATATCTCTTTGTTGGCAATACCATATTGATTTATTACTACAGCTTTTGTTTATAGTTTGATATCTGGCATATTAAGCCTCCATTTTGTTTTTGTTGCCTATGAATTGCTTTGAATTCTGGTCTTCTGTGGTTCCATACGAAGCGGTAAATTCATTTTCTATATCCTGTAAACCGATGGGATTTTAATAGTAGTTGCATGGTCGTTAGATCAGTTTTGGGTAGTATAAACATTGAAGATGAGGGTTGGAGTCTGCCAAATCCCATGACGCCATGGAATGGATTGCCAATCTGATTACACCCCTGCAGATTTTTCCTTCCTCAGTGTTCATAGTTCCCCTGTAGACAATCTTTACCTCTTGGTTGAGTGATATTCCCTAGGTACTTTAATTCTTGTTGCTATTGTGGAAGGAAATTGAGCTCTTGATTTTGGTTTCTCAATCTATGATTGTTGTTGGTGTTATATGAATGCCTCTGATTTCTGTGTATTGATTATCGTCTGAGACTTTACACTAAATCCATTGATCAGTTCCAGAAATTCTTCGGTTGAATCTTAGGGTTTTAAAGTATATCATCGTATGCATTAGCAAACAGCCGGAAAGTTTCGATCTCTTCTGCCCCTATTGGATGTACCTTTGATTCCATTTTCTGTCTGATTGCGTGGCCAAGACTTCCAGCCTATGTTGAACAGAAGAGAGATAGTGGGCAGCCTTGTCTGTTCCAGTTCTAAGGTGACATGATTTCTAATTTTTCCCATTCAGTATGATGTTGGCTATGGGTCTGTCATATATGGTTTGTATCCATTTTAGGTATGTCCTTCTATGCCTATTCTTCACAGTGTTGTGTATCATGAAAGGGTGTTGAATTTTGTCAAAAGCTTTTTCTGCATCTATTGAAAGAATCATGTGGTCTTTGTTTTTGCTTCTGTTTACATGGTGAATTTTGCTTTTATATAGGGTTCACTGTATACCACATCAGAATTTAATCCTCAGAACTCGGTAATATATACAATATAGGGTTGTTATTGACAGGTGGAAAGATTAAAACTCAAGGCTCTAGAACATCCCCCAGGTTACACAGCTGATAAGCCCCGGGGGCAGTACTGGATCTAGAATTCTGGGGTTGGGATTCTAAGATGCTCTGGTATTCAATGAAACTCACGCCCTCGAAACCCGCACAGCCGTCCCTTCACCCGTGCAGGCGCTGGAGAGAGGTTCACACACACCCCGGAAGGCAGCAGAGTCTTAAAAGGGGAACCCCCTGTGCTTACCCCGCACCAAGCAGCCTCCAGAGCATGGGTCTGCTTAGATCCTACTGGTGATACCAGCATATCAGCAAAAATGAAATCCTTTTTTCCCTTGGACACAATTGAGATAGACTAATTTTTCAAAAGGAAAAACGTAAAGAAAACCAAAAAGAAAGGATTATACAATAAGCACAAAGGCCAAAGAATGAGTTTCAGATATTTAAAAATCTCAGTAAAAAAACCAAAGCCTTTAGCTCAGCCCTAAATTTCCTTTTCTTTAGGTAAGCATATTAGCTACATGCAGGAAAGCGGATCCATCACCTTCCACACCTGCTGACCCTCGGCACTCCGCCAGCCTGCTCCCAGAGGAGCTGGACTACCTCAATTTCTAGTTCTTCTCAAGTAGCACCAAACTCTAAACTTAAACACAGAAACTATTTCTGTTTCAGAACTCCTGGATGCCTGGGACTTCTCCCTCATTCCATTCTACTCCTAGATTTGTGAGGCAGAATCAATGAAGAAATCAATGATTAACCCTTTCCAGATTCAAGTCATCACTCACATACCCCCAGCCCATGTGCTGACTCACTCGAGAGACCCCTCTCCCCCGTCCTCCCGCTCCCCAGACACCCAGGTGTCCCCAGACACCCAGGCCTCTAAGGGCATTCACGTCCTTCTCACTGTAACGTGGCGTGCAGAAGCCACTGCAGCAGCCACTGCAGGAGCACAACACAAATGGTCAAGTGACATAAAGAGTTGGCCGGGCCACTCTACAATAGCGACCACCTGGAACTAAATAGTTTTTCAGTCATTCATGAGATTTGTACTGAACGCCTTCCTAGATGACTGTGGCTGCTTAGTTTTATCAAGTGTGGTCTTTCCCACATAAACGTGGGCACCGCAAGCTCTTTGGAACATCTGTGGCAAGCAAACTGTGCATCAGAGTCCAAAAGAGTGACAGAACTGGCAAAATGAGACATGAGCCTTTATGCATATTTAAAGCAGCATTAAAGGCATGCTTTATGTTGAAAGAAATTATGATTTTTAGTATAGGAGTTTGGCATATCTTACAATAAAAGGTGAAGTGCTAACTTTTTATTTTCTTTCAATGATACTTTATTGAATTCTGCTTGCTACCTGTGGTTTCAAGAGTTATGTGTTTTTGCCAAATTTTTTTTCTTGGAAAATTAGTTTCTGCTCTATTATTTAGAGATGTAACTAACCTAATACCTTATAGTTTGGCCTGAATCCATATTTTTGTGTTAAACCAAAATTTTAAAAATGTATTTTTACCTGGTACCCTCTAGCTAAAAGCATACATGACTGAATAGGTGGTGTAATTTGAGAATAATCACCCATTTTGTGCCATAATTGTTTAAAAAAGTTATCCAAGTAATTCTCATTCCCTTGTGACCATCTTAGCTCTTTATTTTCTGGGGTTTTTAAGAAATTCTGACCTATAATTTTTTGAGTCTTTGGCACCTTTCAGGCAGTTTTAGGTGCTTACGTATAGTATTTCATTTCTTTCTCACCACAACCCAATTTTCCCAATTTTCAGAAGAGAAATGTAGTTTGAAGAGACTAAATACCATACCCAAGTTTTTAACAAATCTTGGGATTCAAATCTGGATCTAACCTCCAAATTCTTTATTCTTAGCCGGTACATACTATAATGCACTTACCTTGCTAATCTCATTTATCAATTTCTGCACACCAAACCCAAGTCAGTGGCTGAAAACAACAGCGCCTTCCCCTGGACTCCCGAGTCCTCGCGAGCCGGCGGGAAGGCCCACCCTCCAGGCTGGAAAAGCCCTGCCGGCTGTTGCCCCTCTCTCCTCGGGGGCTCTCCCTGGGGCGGCTGGGTTCTGAGAAAAGTGTTTCAAAGCACGGAAAGTGGAAATGGCCAATTTTTAAAAGCCGGGCCCAGCAACTGGTGCGGCGCCACTTCCGCATCGCATCGGCCGCGGCCGCAGGCCCGCCCCCGCGGGAGGAGGCCGAAACTCCGAGCGTCGCAAAGCCCTGACACCTACGGCATTTCCGGTTCACTTGGGTTCTTCAAGCCCGAGGTTCCCTAATTTGTGAATGTTCTCATCCCCCATGACTTCGTGGATAACTCCTCCACACGTGCACTCCTCAGCATGGGAGTCATGTGCTCAAGACCATCAAGCTCTGCACCTGTGCAAAGTCCCCCAAGTATAATCTAAGTAAACTCTAGAGCTACTCTTCTGACTCTAAAGCAAACTAAAATTTCAGCATATGCTCTGCTCACTTGCTGGGGAACCTTTAGACATTATCAGGCTCTCTGGTATCAAATGCTTTCTCTTCAAAAACTGTGCCCTCTCTTGGATCTGGACTTGTTCCCTTCAACCTACAGCTGGACCAGCTCCCCACTGGTCACACCTCTACAGTAGGCAGATCATTTTTCAGATCTGAAGTCTCTCCCTTTTGGCCAAATTTGAATAGCTCATGCTTAAGTGGGCTATCAGATACAACAAGTTGATTCCAATTATTCCAATTGACCTTTGCATGCAAATATCCCCTTCACAACTGCAGTATTTGTACTTTTTGATAGTTGTTTTTGTACTGTTTCCTAGATGAATGAGTCTAAAGAATAAAAACAGCAGTATGTTTCTCTTACTTCCTTTGTAACTCTCCACACCACCCATTTAGGAGTTTGGTCATACACAATGGGTATCTATTAATAATAAATATTGTAGCTGATGCTAAGAATAAAATCTGAAGGAAATACATTCAGTGGCAAGAATCTCCTTGAATGGCACTGTATGTAACAGATCAGATTAAGCATTATGAAGGATAGCCTTCAATTTTGTGGTCTCATTTCCGAGTTGAATTCTGTAATCACTCCAGGAGTAAGACATCTGACATCTGTGCTTTGCTCTCTGCTTTGAGTGTGCCCATGTTATAGTCTTTGAGATATTTTGGAATGAAAATGAGATTTCAAGGAAGTATTTCATTAGAAGGGGGTTTTATTCCCTTTGAATTGCATCCAAGCTGCAGTTTTTCATCTTTTCATTAACTTTCTATCACATAGCTCTTTTTTCTAATTATACATTAGCCAACATGCTTTAATTTGCAGAATGAGTCCTGTTTGGTTTCAACAAAAATTGCAATGGAAGCTAACGCTTTGAAGAAGTGACACAAACGTATCTTTAAGTTAATATCACTACATTTCCTTCTAGATTGATTATGTATGCATGATAACTCAGCACCAACATATGCTTTTGAGGCACTGCTACGAGTTTTGTATTTATTTAAATCATATGACCATTAAAAGCAAAAATCAGAATTTTTTTGAGTTAAAAAGAACTTTAAACTACTGGCTTATTACAGTTGTTTTATGTTTGTAAACAGACAACCTTTAATGTCCGAATACTTGTGTTATAGATCTGTAGTTGCCTTAGATTTGAATCCATGCAATGTTTAGAGTACAAAGCTGGTTACTTGTCGATAATTTCTTGCTGTATCAGTGAAATACATATTATCATGTCAGTTATTATCAGCAATTTCTCAAATTGTCAAAGAGCCTTCATCTTTACCGAACCCAATTACTTTCTATTACTCTGTAGGAATTTCATCATTTGCCATTTTAAAAGGTGTTTATGGGTTTTTATGTTATTTTTCAGTTATCTATTACTGCACATCAATCCACCTAAAAATTGTGGTTTAAAACTACTTATGTCTGGAGAGATGAAGTGACTCTTCCCCAAGACCATTCTAAGCACTTACCTTACCCAAGTATTCTGATCCTGATATTTGCGTATGGTTCCTGCCATTATTTTTCATAGCTTATAGATCACTGTCTTCTCTTCTTCATATTAGATGTGTGGCCATGATGCAAGATGCTCCCCTCTGGACTCCTTTACCTCCTCACTTACCCTTCCCAGACCTGGAAAACCTGGGAGTAATGAGCCAGGCAAGCTTGGCCCACCTGCCCCTAGGAACTGACCTGCCCAGGGAGCATGGGTTTGCTCTCTCCTCCAGGCTCGTGTTCATGGGGCAGGCCATAGGATGGAGGGTTTCTGGGGGCCGACCTTTGCCAGTGACTGGATGGGAGAATGTCTAATTCTGCTGTTTGGTGTTAGGAACCATAAAAACATTCTCCATTATTTCCTTTATCAGGAAAAAAATGGTGATTATTTATGATCTCCTATCTGTAAACTCTTGGTCTTTTTTCAACAACTAGTTTCCAGTTAGTTCAGAATGTGGGAGGGGAAGAAAGATGCTATTTACTGAAACATTCTCAACCCTCAACAACACACAATAATGATGAAAACAACTAATTATTAACACTTGTTGAACACCTGCTAGATGCAAGGCCACTGGGTTATGCACCTTTTGTGTGTTATCCCATTTAATTTAATTATGACAAAGGAAGGTCAAAAAAACTACACACTATAACTGGGAGGTTATGGTGGTTTTCAAAGTTGGCCACCATTAATTCTTCCCTTCCCTGTATACACATACCTCTCCTCACATGAAGAAATGGAGTCTATTCCTCTGCACCTTGAATCTGGGCTAGCCTAATGACTTGCATCGATGACAGAATGTAGTGAAAGTGACATTCTGGGACTTTCAAGCTCAGGCCTTAAGAGATCTGGCAGCTTTCATTCCTTTGTCTGAGAAATCCCACCTGCTATAATGAATACTGGGCTAGACTCCTGAAAGATGAGAGAAAAGCTGGAGAGAGGGAGAGATGGGGGTAAGGGGGCGAGAGAGAGAGAGAGGGAGGGAAGGAGGGAGGGAGAGTGCTCCCTCACAGAGAAGCACCTAGGGGCCGACATTGACATAAGAATCAAGCCCTCTTGGACCTTGCAGCCCACCAGCCCAGCCACCCTGGCTTACCTGAAAGCAGTTGAGGGACTGACTCCATTCAACACCCTGTGGAGCAGAAGAACCACCCAGCCAAGCCTTGCCCCAAATACCAAGGACAGGATTGTGAGAATGATAAATGATTGCTGTTTTAAGCCACTAAAGTTTTGGGGTGGGTTGACACACAGGAATAGACAACTGAAACAGAAATAAAATACATACTTACAGAAACCTTTTCAAATGACAAATGGTATCACTGCTATGGTGTAACAAGAATTTTAAGATTTGTAACTGACATTTTAAACCACCAAGTCACAATCTGCTTGTATATAGCATACCTTTATAGTCCAAGTCATGCCTTCTTTCAAATGTCATTCTAAATGAGCCACCTTCAGGGGGCAAATGATAATATCACCTCAAGACAACAGCTACACTCCTATTCAAAAGGAAAAACTCTTGGCTGAATAATAAAGCTATTTCTTTCTATTCCCTGTTGAGAGCTCATTATTGCTCTGCCTCATATTCAATTATCGTGCAGAATAGTTTCTAAACCCTGGCTCTATTCATTTGTCTGGGAAGCCCTCCCAACACTCACTGTGAACCCGCCTCCCAGGTGGTTTACATAACCCTCCTTGGTGCCCCTTTAATGCTTTGCTTATATCATTAGCATAGTACTCATCACCTATATTTATGTAAACTCCATTAAGAGCAGAGACCTGGTTCCTTTTGTTACTTCAGTATTCTAAGCACCTAAAAGCACTCCTTATAGAGTAGGTGCTTCATGAATAATTGCTAGTTGAAAGAGTGAATTTGCCTGCTTCCCCCTGGGCTAGACAGTATTTCTTGGTGTTGAGTATCCATTACCCCTTCCTTCTATTCTCTTGCTTTTAGTGTAGGGGCTGGAAGCCTGGAAGCTCCTAGATTTGCTTGTTGACAGGGTACAAATACAATTCTAGTTCTGCCAAAGAAATGTACCTGCATGAGCTCTGGAGGATGAAGGGAACCACGAAAGTTCCTCTGCTGCCAGTCATGGTGGCTTACATGCGGGTTTCAGCAGATGTGTGTTTCTGTAGATGGTGGCCAGCTAGCCAGTACCCAGGGGTAGTGCTTTCTATAGTTTCCTGCCCTCTGGAAACTAAATACCCAGTGGTGCCCCTCACTTTTACTCCTCCAACCCTTACAATGACTTTTGGAAGCATCTAATTCCATGAAAAAGCTAGAGTAGTTTCTGTTTTACTATAGTCATGCGCCACATATAGATGTCCTTGCTAACAAGGGGCCACATGTATGACTGTGGTCCTGTAAAATTATAATATTATATTTTTATTGTATCTTTTCTATGTTTAGTTATGTTTAGATACACAAATACTTACCATATGTTACAACTGCCTACAGTATTCAGTTCAGTAACATGCTGTGTAGGTTTGTAACCTAGGAGCAAAAGGCCATACACTATGGCCCAGGTATGCAGCAGGCTAACCGTCTAAGGTTAGTGTGAGGACTCCACCATGTTCACACCATGATGAAACTGACTAACAATGCATTTCTTATGTTCTGAGTTCTGAGCATTGCTTATGTTCTGAGTTCTACCTGATATGCCTCTATGGACTGCATTCCTTGCAGGACATGCCTATTTATGTTTGTACAAACATATCTGCATTGTCCGGATCATAGTGGAAAAATAATAATGATAAGAACAGATAACATTTATTTAATACTTATTATGTGCCCAGCACTGTTCTAAGTGGTTTGAATCTATTAGCTTAATCTTCTCAATAACCCTGCGAAGCAGGCACTGTTGCTGTCCTCTTTTACAAATGAGGAAACTGAGAAGAAAAATGTGAAACGACTTGCTCAAGAAATCATACAATTAAAATAGTGGACTGAGGATTCGAATTCAGGAAGACTGGCTCCCAAATCTACCTTGCAGCTAATACTTTCTCCTGCCCTGATTAATGTCTGCCTAAGGACTTAGAAGATACAATCACTAAAATTTTAGAACTCATTTGTTATAAATGTCCTATATGCATTTATCATAAAATATCAACTCAGTACATTTTCCTTGAAGACTCTTAGTTTTTAAAGATGTTCCTGTGGTATCAAAAGGGCTCTGTACACACACACACATATACACACATTTACATTAATATGTATATATGTGGTTTTTGCTGTGTTTTTTCCCATTAGTCGTAAAGACAATGAAAAATAGGGAGCCATGGAAATAATTAGGATACTAGGAAAGGTAAGAAGAGTAATGGTAAATACTGATAGGTTTCATGTGAAATTTCTCCATGCAGATCTTTCTGCCTCTTGCCCAGAACGCAAGTTCAAACAAATGACCTCTGGTTGTAGCAAATGAATCCGTGTACACATAAGAAAGGAGAACATATATATCTCTTAGCTGTGGCTTCCATCAAAATGGAGAACAAGCTTTCCCACCGAGACCCTAAAGGCATGGAGAAGGGCCTAGGAAGATGCAAAGTCATATACACAAAAGAAATCTAAGTGGTAACGATCTGAACATCTGGTCTTCAACACTGCGGGCAAGAGTGCACAGCTCTCAAAGATGACCAGTGCAGAAATGTGAGTGGGCGGAAAAATGCACAGATGTAGGGGTTAGAAGATCTTCTTCTGCATTCCGGATGTCATTTTCTGTGCAGATGGAGACGCACTAGTGCAGTAGCCCTGACAGTGGGTGCTGTCAATCACTCCCCAGGGGAGGAGAAGAGTCTTGATCCAATGGCTGCAGTTGGAAGAAAAATCTGAACAAGATAGCCCAGCCCCTTCTTTCTTTCTTGTAAGTAAAACTGCCATTTTTCTCTGCTCCTCCACATCTTCAGTTTTAAAGGAGTTGGCTCTGCACATGGGTCGGTGAGGATGCTCTGTGTCCCACCCATTGCTGACAGTGACTGGGAGGGCAAGTCTGTGTAATTCTGGGGTTCAATATAGGGAAACTCACTTGCCTGCAGTTAAAACCATATTCCCAATAAAAGTTCATATCTCTTACCTGAAATTCCAGAATCCCCAATGATTTGAAAATAAAAGTTTTCCCCCAATCCATCTGGCAGCAAAACTTGAAGTGACCTAAGTCATTAACAGCCAAACCTGACCTTAACTGACATGAAGATACTTACAATCTTTATCACTCCACTTGGAGCTTTGCTGTCTGATACAATAACCAGTAGCCACACATGTCTATTTAAATTTAAACTCATTGGAATGAAATAAAATTCATATTCAGCTTCTTAGTCATGCTAGCCACATCTCAAGTGCTCCCTAGCCACATGTGCCTAGTGCCACCATATCAGAAAAAACATTTCCAGCATTATAGAAAGTTCTGTACAACATGGAGTGAAATCATGTTTACTTACAGACATGTTCATATTTGATGTGGAGTATTTACTTAGGCCCCATATATTAAACAGTATATAGATAGTTGTCCCCAAAATCTAAAAAAAAAAAAAACAACCAAAGATCACATCTGGCCCAGAGGATCAGAGATAAGGGATTGAGGGATTACGGACCTGTGCCAGTTCTTAATCAGTAGTAAAGGGGGTATTTTGGTCTTCCTTTTTTTGCTAAGACTTTACCTTATTCCAAATTGATAAGAATCAAGGCAAGGAAGAGGAGGGCCCTTAAACCCTAATAAGGGAGGGAACCATGCAGGTTCCTCTCTCTCCACATGCACAGGCTATTTAGGCTAATCACAGTGGAGGGTATTATATGTGTTGCAAAATCATTTTTCTGAGGAGGTGTAAGTGCAGTTCTGGCAGAAAGACAGTAGCTAAATGACTAAAAATCTTCCCAGGATTGATACAGATGCCGCAGATGGGATTTCTATGTGGGGTGGGAGGTGGGACTAGATGAAGACCAAGGCCCATCCATTTAAGAAAATCTGGGCTATTGCCTCCTCCAGAGGGGTCCTTCTCCAGCTTCTTCCACATGGTAGGGATTGGTCAGTTGCAGATATACTTCTGGACAGGAACATGTCTATTGGCATCCAGCACTTCCTGAAATTTCCTTCAATGCCTAGGGCTACCTCTTGGTGGGAGCAAAGTGGGTCAGGGCAGCCATGTGCCCTTTCAGCTATTCATACTCTTGAAGCCTGACAGCGAGAAGATGCTGGACAGCTCTTATCTGCCACACCCAGCTTATTCTCTTGTACTGTGGGTGTGAGATATTTCACAGAGATATTCCACAGCAGCCTCGGCCCGCCAGAGTACTAAGAGATGGGTTTTGAGTATCTTATGGGCTCTACTTTGTTTCACTCTGCTATATGATTTCAGGCAAGCAGCTTAACTTGATACAGCCTCAGTTTTCTTATCCGTAAAACAGGCAGAACACCTCCAGGTCCACCACCCTCAGAGGGTTGTATGAGGATGGAAATGAAAATCAAAATATTGAATAAGCTAATATATGGGAAAGTCATCTTTCCTAGTAAATGCATATATTATCTGCATTACTGATGGGAAAATTCCATACAGGCCTTGTAAAGCAACACCTATTAAAACTGTAATCTAAGCAAGAGCCTTGCTGGATTCTCAAAATATTTCTGTGAGTTCAATACAAAACAGCTTTTATTTAGAACATAAATTGGATTTACGCTTGTAAAAGAAAGCATGAGATAATGTTCTTTGTCTTAATTTGACAGCAGACAGACTCTTCAGCACTGGCCAAGAATCTAATACTGGATTGTACCAAAACACAACCATTTGCTTTTTAAATTGCATCCATAAAGATACTACGGTCAAGTGCTGCCTCTGACAGAGCATTTACCAAGATTTGAAGATTCATGTTCAGATCATTAAAAATGCCCATCTCTGTCTTTTTTATTCAGTATTCCACCAGCTCTCCAATCAGGATAAAATTTGAGGACCTGCTCCTATTGAAACTTCCCAGGTAAGCTTCACATTTCTGGAATTTTTTTTTTTTTAAAGATCAGTGTGGAAGCTGTCCAGCTCAAACAGTGCACAAGAGGCATGACTGCCTCCTTTCTCCTGTTTGCTTTCCTCGAATTAATAT